TCACATGATCTTATCAATTGATGCAGAAATGGCATTTCATAAACTCCAACACCCATTCCTGATAAAAACTCTCAGCAAAATAGGAATAGAAGGGACATTCCTCAACATAATAAAGGGTATACATGCAAAACCAACAGCAAAGATTATTCTCAATGGAGAGAGACTGATGCCATTCCCGTTGTAAACAGGAACCAGACAAGGATGCCCTGTATCACCACTTCTATTCAACATTGTATTGGAAGTCCAAGTCAGGACAATAAGGCAAGAAAGGGAAATCAAAGGCATCCAAAATGATATGGGAGAAGTAAAACTATCCTTATTTACTGATGATACAATCCTATACCTAGAAAACCCAAGAGACTCAGCAAAAAAAAAAAAAATTACTGGAACTAATTGAGAGAGTTAGCATGGTGGCAGGACACAAGATCAACATGCAAAAATCAGTTGGATTCCTCTACACCAGCAAAGAGATTGCCGAAAAGGAAATAAGGAAATCAATACCATTTACAATAGCTACCAGGAAATTAAAATACTTGGGAATAAATCTCACTAGGGACCCAAAAGACCTTTACAAAGAAAACTACAAAACACTACTTTCAAGAAATCATAAGAGGTCTACAAAAATGGAAGAACATACCATGCTCGTGGATAGAAAGATTGAACATTGTGAAAATGTCAATTCTACCCAGAGCAATCTATACATTCTATGCACTCCCAATCCAGATGCCATCAACATTCTTTAAGGATACGGAAAAACCAATCACTCATTTTATATGAAAGGAAAGAGACCTCGGATAAGTAAAGTACTATTGAAGAAGAAGAACAAAGTAGGAGGTCTCACACTCCTGATCTCAAAACCTACTACACAGCCACAGTAGTCAAAATAGCCTGGTATTGGTACAAGGACAGACATAGACCAGTGAAACAAATTAACAACCCAGAAACAAATGGATATCCATTTGCAGAAAAATGAAACAAGATCCGTACCTTACATCATACATAAAAACTAACTCCAGATGGATCAAAGACTTAAATGTGAAACCTGAAACTATAAAGTTCCTCAAGGAAAAACTAGGGGCAAATTTAGGATCCCAAATTAATGGCATAAATAGACTGTCAAGCATAACCCAAAATGCACAAACAGTTTTTTGACCTTGGTCTTGTAAGCCTCAGCAGCCACTAGCTGCCTGAGTGAAGAGATGCCTCTAGCTTCAGTGGGCCGGAAGCAAGAGGCAGAGCTGAAGCCCAAGGTGGAGGGGCTTTCAAACAGCCCCTATAGCCTGGCACTTTGAACTCGGACTTCTAGCCTCTCAAACTGTAAGAGAATAAACTCCTGTTTGTTAAGGCCATCTCATTTGTGATATATTCTTATCAGAGCACTAGGTAACCAGAACAGAGAACAATGCAGAACAAAACTCAAAATCATTAAAAAAAAAAAGACCAGGTTTGCTGGTCTGATAGAGTCTGGTGAGACCCCTGAGACTATGGCCCCAAGCTATCTACCCTTCAGGTCTGGAACTGAACTAACTCCTGTGGCTTCCAGCCAAACAAGAGACAGGCATATGGGGTGAACACTGACATCAGATAGATACACTCCTTGGATCAATCAATTGTGGGAGAACAGAAGGGTAGTGTTTGCACAGGGAGATAGCTCAAGGGGCAGCAATGCATGGGAGGGAAGGGCACAGGGAAGAGGGAACTATGAGGAGGAAGTGGGAAGAAAACTCTTACGCTGTGGGGAAATGCAGTCAATGTCATGGTACAAAATGTGTATGAACTGCTGTATGGAAAATGAATTTTCTCTGTAAACTTTCATCCAAATCACACACACAAAAAAAGCAGTGCTACAAAGTCAGAAAACTTTGGCTAGGATAGATAAATAACTGTCATTGCCCCAGTGTTGACCTTTATTTAACATCTTGCTGGATATGAATGATAAGTTAGGGAATAAACAGATTTTAGGTAGAAAAATAACAACATAAACACTCTCAAGACTATTCCAAGTATTTAATACCTCACCTGGGTATGTACCAACTATTTGTGATGTTCTACAAACTTACATACTGGAAATACTAACATTTTGTCTCCATCATAAAATCAACAACACATCATCAACAACATATTCCCATACCTTAAAATACATTTCATTGTTACAGCAGGGTTAAAGTATGTGAGAAAACACTTCTGAAATATTTTGAAATAACACGACTAGAGTGGTGTGTGCAGCCTCACAGGCTGTGCAGGTGGTGCTGTCACTCAGTTACAGAAGATTTATGGTCTAAACATGGAGAATAAGCATGTGTGATGTGCAGCTGCCACAAGTTTGGTCATTAACAAGCACAAAACACCACAACAAAGAGATATTCAGTCAGCAAAAGAACTGTCTACTCAAATGTCAGAAACAAAAGAAATCCCTAGAGATGACAACTGTACAATTTTCTATCCATAATTAAATAATTTTAATTCACTGTGTGAAGACCCTGGAAAATATAATAATTAGTACTGAACATATTTTTTTCTGGAAAAATGCAGGTTTTGCAACAACTGAAAATAAGCACTTTAAAAAATACTGTAAAACTATATACACCAGAACACTTGCCAATTCAACATTTTTCATGTATACTATTCAGTGAGAGTAATTACATAAATCATCTTGTGCGACCATCACCAAAGTCCTATGACAAATTTTCTATCCCCATGAACAAAAACTGCTTCCTGAAAAATAATTCCTCCATTCCCTTTCCCTCTTGCCCCTGGTAACCAAAGTTCAATTGTGATTGCTATTTATTTATCTATTCTATGTACTCCATATTGGTGAGATTATAGAATATCTGTCCCTTTGTGATTGACTTATCTCACTGCAGATAATGTTTTTAAGGTTCACCCATATTGACTGATATATCAGGACTTCATTTCTTTTCATGGCTGAATAATACTTTACTGTATATATGAACCACATTCTGCTTATCCATTAATATGCTGATGGATATTTAGGTTGTTTCCAGGTCATGGCTATTGTGAATAATGCTGCAATGAACACTGGTGTACACGTGTCTGTTTGTGCTGGTGCTTTCAAATCTCTTGGGTATATTCGTATTTACTCAATGTTAGAAATGGCACCAGATTCAAGATGACAGTAATTTGTGGAAGTTGGAAGAAAACACTGAACATCTCTTATTTATCAGTTACCAGCCAGGTACTTTCCATATTTGTAATTTTTTTTTAAGTATATTTCATGAGCTTTGTATAACAACACTGAGAGAAGAGTTTGTTCCTTGCAGTTTGCAGATGAGTAAACTGTGGCTAGAAGGTTAAGTAAATGCCCCAATTCACCACCAGATGTGGCAGTGTGCAGACCTTAAATCAAGTCTGTAGGCTCATCTGAAGCCGATGCTCTTTTCACTGTTTGCTCATTATTTCCTGATGAAAATACACCTAAATTCTAGTGTCGACCATACTGTTGTTTGTTGTTAGGTACCATCAAATAGGTTTCAGCTCATAGGGACCCTCTGTACAAAAGAACAAATTACTGCCTGGTCCTGTAACATCCTCACATTTGTTGCTATGCTTGAGCCCATGATTGCAGCCACTGTGTCAATCCATCTCATTGAGGGTCTTCCCCTTTTACTCTGACCCTCTGCTTTACCAAGCATGGTATCTTTCTGTAGGGAATGGTCCTTTCTGACCACATGACCAAAGTAGGTGAGATGAAGTCTGGCTAGTCTCACTTTTGTGTATTAATTTTACCATCGACTATTTTCACTGCACTAAAATTACCATCAACAGACAAATGAATGTATATGTATTTAATACTAAATGCTGAAGCTAAAGTATGAGCTTGCTAGTTGTTGTTGTTAAGTGCCTTTGAGTCACTTCCGACTAATAGCGACCCCATGCACAGCAGAACGAAACATTGCCTGATCCTGCGCCAGCTCCATGATCCTTATTATACTTGAGCCCATTGTCGCAGCCACTGTGTCAATCTATCTTGTCGAAGGCCTTGCCCTCTTTCTTTGACCCTCCACCTTACCAAGCATGACATCCTTCTCTAGGGAATGGTCCCCTCTGACAACAAGACCAAAGTAGGTAAGATGAAGTCTGGCCATCCTCGCTTCCAAGGAGCATCTCAGCTGCACTTCTTCAAGGACAGATCTGTTAGTTCTTTTGGCAGTCCATGGTACCTTCAGCATTCTTCGCCAGCACCACAACTCAAAAGCATCAACCCTTCTTCAGTCTTCCTTATTCACTGTCCAGCTCTCACATGCATATGAGGTGACTGGAAATATCATGGCCTGTGTCAGGCGCACCTTAGTCCTCAAGGGGACATCCTTGCTCCTCAGCACTTGAAAGAGTTCCTTTGCAGCTGACCTACCCAGTGCTACACATCGTCTAGTGTCCTGACTGCTGCTTCCACTGGACTGCTATTATGAATAGCAGAGCCTGTTAGAGATTTTTAAAAATTAAATTTAAACATCAAGAGCCTCTCATAATTTTTATTAGGCAGTACTGAGGACAAACAAAGAGAAATAAAAATAGTACAAAATCTGTATAATCCTGAATAAGAATCTAATATTGCCAGTTAAGAAATACCCAAAAGGTGTGACCCACCTTAATGACATTTTCTTCAAAGTAACTAGTACCTGGAATTTAGGGTTTATCATTCTCATTCATTTCTTTATATTTGCATTTTATATACTATTTCTAATCAACATAATACTGCTTTTCTGATTTTAAAATTTTGTATCACTAGGACATCTACGGGAGCTCTGGTGGCATAGTGGCTAAGGCATTTGGCTGCTAACCAGAAGGCTGAAGGTTCAAACCCACCAGCCACTCCTCGGAAAGAAGATTGGGCAATCTACTTCTGTAGTGATACTGCCCCGGAAACCCAAGGAGGGGTCACTATGAGTCAGATCTGACTTGATAGCAGTGAGTTTGGTTTTGTTTTGGTTTAGCACATTTATAAATATTTTTCTGTTACTTTCTGCACTCAATATTACGTTTATGAATTTCAATCATGTTGACGTATCTATATAGGTTCATTCATTCCTCATAGCATTTAAACTTTTCTTAATTCTAAGAATTGTGTTTTAAAATATTTTATGTGACTTCTGGTAAGATGGCAGAATAGGCAGACAAGCTACACAGACCCTTTTCAACAAAGAAAAGAGAAACCAATTGACACAAATACAGAAGATACTCCTGAAGCCCTGGGCCTTGAAAGGAAAGATACAGAAGCAGATTAAACACCAACTAGTAGAAGAACCCGATTGAAAACAGTGAGTAAGAAGACAAATTGAGCTGTGGACTGTCAGCTGTACTAACGGCATGGATGGCCTGAATATTTCCAACTGGTGTGAGGACCTGAGAATTAACCTAAAAATTGGCCCTGCTCACCAAGGGCTGCACGGACTACTACATGGGTAGCTGATGACTGAAAAGGGAAACTGCAAAGAAGGAGACAAACTGAACTAAGGACTTTCAGCTGTCTGGAGGGCGCAGACATTTTAAATATTTACACGTGGTGGCCATTTTGGATATTTAAAGTAACATGATTCTCGTTTAGATTCCAGGGACCTAAGAATAGGTTCTGCTTGCCAAAGACAACACGGACATACAGGAGGCTGATGACTGGAAAAGAAACAGATGGTGAGTGTATAAGTGCTACAACTAGTGAATAGAGAAGCACAGTACCCTGTTTACTTAGATACATCCAAACAAAACAAAGAAAATGAAAATCTTGGGCAAATCCATCATAAAATCACCAATTACATATAAACACAAAAATGTCACAATGTCTCGGAGACAACAGCCATCACAGTCCACACAAAGAAGCAAGATAAAGTAGGAGAAACAAAGGACCAGGATACAGACCCAGAACAAATCCCTGAGGAAGAAGCAGCATTCCTGACAAGGAATTCAAAAGAATTATATTTAAGTACCTTCAAAAGATTGAGAGACAGATCAAGGAAAACACTGAAAAAATTGAGGAAAATACAGAGAAAACCCTAGAACAATTTCAGAAGACAATACAAGAACAAAATGATACAGGAAAAATTAGAAATGATACAAAATCTACAGGTAGAAACCGAGAAGATTAATACTAAATTTTCAAAAATAGATAACACATTGAATAGGCAAAGGAGTAGAACTGAACCAATGGAAGACAGAATTAGTGAGACTGAAGACAAATACTTCAATACTTCTTTGGAAAGGGATCAATCCCAAAAAAGATCAAAACAAAATGAAGAAAGCCTAAGGTTCACGTGGGATACTATCAAAAGGAATAACCTACATGTAATTGGAATTCCCCGCTCCACGGAAGGAAGGCTGGGCAATCTATTTCCGTAGTGATACCACCTCAGAAACCCAAGGAGGGGTCGCTATGAGTCGGGGCCGACTTGACAGCACGTAACAACAACAATCGGTATTCCAGAACAGGAAGAGAAAAATAAAACCACTGAGAAAATTTTCCAAGATTTATTGGAAGAGAATTTCCCTGATATGATGAAAGAAGAGAATATATCTGTTCAAGAAGTCCAACGAACCCCAAACAGGAGAGACTCCAAAAGAAAATCACCAAGACATATCATCATCAAACTCACTAAAACCAAAGACAAAGAAAGAATCCTGAAAGCAGCATGGGAAAAACAAAAAGTTACCTACAAAGGGCAACCAATAAGACTAAACTCTGATTTCTTGGCAAAAACCATGCAGGCAAGATGGCAATGGGATGGTACGTATAAAACTCTGAAAGAAAAAATTTCCAACCAAGAATTATATGCATAGCAAAACTTTCCCTCAAATATGATGGTAAAATTAGGACATGTCCAGAGAAGCAGAAATTAAAGGAATTTGTTAACATCAGACCCACAACCTTACAAGAGATGCTAAAGGAAGCCCTTTGGACAGAGAACCAAAACCAGCAAATAACAACTGACCATTAACACATATGATGACATAACCCAGAAACCAATCCAATTATGGAAGTATTCAAAGTAAATAAGCCCACAAGATTGTAAACAGGGAAATAGAGACATCAATTGGCAAACAAGGACAATTACAAACCAAAGAGAGAGAAAAAACTGTGTAGTTATAGAATTTCTAACTGGTGAGGAAGTCAAGACAATTCCAAGATAGTATGAACTGTTTCAAACTTGGGAAGAAAATTATAAATCACAGGGTAACCTCAAAGAAAAATGATAAACCTTCACATCAAAATAAAAAAGGGAACAAGCACAAATATTTAGCAAATACTAAAACAATAGCATTGAAGGAAGTGATAACACAATTCATAAACAAAATGAGTTCAGCACAGGCAATTATATGGAACAGAGAAATCAGTAACACCACAAAAAAACACATAACATAATGACAGTAACAAATTCATACTTGTCAATAATTACACTGAATGTCAATGGATTAAACATATCACTCAGAGATGGAAAGTTACAGACTGGATAAGAAAACATTACCCATCAATATGCTGTCTACAACAGACACACCTTAGAGAGAGAGATACAAATAGACATAGAAAGATACAAATACAATAGAAAGATACAAAATACAGATCAAAGGCTGGAAAAAGATATACCAAATAAATGGCAACCATAAAAGAGCAGGCGTGGCAATGTTAATTTCGGATTGACTTTAAGACAAAAACCACTATAAGAGACAAGGAAGGACATTTTATAATGATTAAAGGATTGACTGAACAAGATGACATAACCACGATAAATATCTATGCACCCAATGAAAAAGCCCCAAAATATATTAATCAAACTTGAACAGAATTGAAAAGACAAATACATGACTCTACAGTCATAGTAGAAGACTTTAATATACTACTTTCAAACAAAGAACAACTGGAAAGAAACTCAACAAAGACACAGAAGACCAAAACAATATAATTCACCAACTTGACCTTATAGACAACTACAGAGTACTTCACCCACCAACAGCACAATATACATTCTTTTCCAGCGCACACGGAATATTCTCCAGGATAGACCATATGTTAGGCCACAAAGCAAGCCTTGATAAATTTTAAAACACTGAAATACTGCAAAGCATCTTCTCAGATCACAATGGTATAAAATTAGAAATCAACAATAGGAAGATCAATGGAAAAAGAACAAACACAAGGAAACTGAATAACACCCTCCATGAAAATTACTGGATAATAGAAGAAATTAACAATGAAATAAAAAAAATTCCTTCAATCAAATGAGAATGAAAACACTTTGGGCCATTGCAAAAACAGTGGTCAGAAGGCAATTTATAGCAATAAATGCACACATCAAAAAAGACGAAAGAGCCAAAATCAACACCTTAACCCAACATCTCGAAAAATTACAAAAGAGCAGCCAAAAAAAAACCATACAGTCACCAGAAGAAAAGAAATAATAAAAATTCAAGCAGAAATGAATGAAACAGAAAACAGAAATACAACAGAAACAATTCAACAAGATGAGAAGTTGGTTTTTTTAACAAGATTAATAAAATTGACAAACCACTGGCAAATTAAACAAAGGGAAAGAGGGAGAGAATACAAATGGCATGAATAAGAAACTAATTGGGCGACATTACAACAGAACAAACAGAAATTAAAAGGATAATATCAAGATACTATGAACAACTATACTCCAACAAATTTGAAAATCTAGAAGAAATGGATAGATTTCTAGAAACATACTACTTACCTAAACTAACACAAATTGGGGTGGAAATTTGAACAGATCCATAACAAAACAAGAAATTGAAGAAGTTATAAAAAAATTATCAACAAATAAACAAACAAACTCTGGCCCAGATGGTTTCACTAGAGAATTCTACCAAAGATTCAGAGAAGAACTGACACCAATGCTACCCAAACTATTCCAGAACATGGAAAAGGATGGAATCCTCACAAATTGATTTTATGAAGCAAGCATAAGCTTGATACAAAAATCAGGTAAAGACATCACTAAAAAGGAAAAGTATAGACCAAGATCCCTCAAGAATACAGATGTAAAAATCTTCAACAAAATCCTACCGAATAGACTCCAACAATATATCAAAAAATTAATACACTATGACCATGTGTGGTTCATACCAGGTATGCAAAGATGGTTCAACATTAAAAAAAACAATCAATGTCGGGGGCAAGATGGCGGACTAGGCAGAAGGATTGCACAGACCCTCTTCAACAAAGAAAAGGGAAACCAATTAACACAGACACAGAAGATA